TATTTGGAAGGCCCGAGAGCGTCTTTTATTTCTTTTGAAAGGTTTGGATTGATCTGATCTCTCCCCGTTCCCCTGTTTTTGGTAAACAGGTCATACGTTTTTTTGCCAGCTCCGAACCTTTTGACTTGGAGCTTCCCCTTCGAGCTGTATGAAACCTCAAGCTGGCTTGAGCTCATGTTCGGGTACAAATCTTTTGCAGCAACCCACGCTTGTTCACTCAGGGTCTGAGCCCCGGTAAAAGAGGTTTCCACATAAGAAGTTGCAGGCAGCCCGCTTTTTTCGCGCTGCATTGTCTGCATCGAAATTTCTTCTTCTTTCCCATTTGGCGTTGACGACTCTCCTGGGATAAAAGGAGTAGTTTCGTTTGCATCTCCGCCTTCATCATCGTCATCGTCACCCAAACCGTATGGGTCATAAGCATGGTTTTCAAAGCTTGTTCCTTCGCCTTCCGACATAGCGATATATGTGAAGCCGGTTATTTTTAAATTAGAAAAATATCGCCGGCGTAAATACAATGGCGGATCCGGGGAACCTTCGAGCAACATACATGAAAAAAACCTTGCACGGCATGCAGGCCGAGCGCGCGTTGAAGAGGATAACGTTTTCGCGCACTGAAGCCAACCCCGGCGAAACTCTGTACGTTTACGTGCCGAAGCTGAACGTGAACGAGGTTCTGGTNGCGAAACTCTGTTCGTTTACGTCCCAAAGCTGAACGTGAATGAGGTTCTTGTGCCGGGTTCGCTTGCGCTTGTCTTCAACATTGACCTTTCTGGAGGGCACGCCAACAACTACCTTGTCCAGAACGTCACGCGGGCGCTTGTTGACACTCTGAACTTGAAGTTTGGAGGCGAAAAACTGCAAGACACGGTCGGCTACGGCATCTACAAAATCTTTGAAGACCTTTTTCTTTCGTAGGAAGAAAGAGACAACAGGATCCTCGAAGGGATTCAGAGCGAGGATCTATGCAAGATCCGCTCAGGCGCGGGAGACAAGAAAACCTCGGGAGTCGATGCTGAAAACAAGCTGAACGAGGTGTACGGGAGCAAGTACCGGATCAGGCTGGACCATCAGATATTGAACGACCACGGCGTACAAAGACCTCGTTTTCGAAATAACCCTGGCTGACGCTGCGCATGTTGTGAGGGGCTCGGACACAACCAACCTGAAATACAAGCTGACGAACATCCAGCTCGAGAACGATATGATCCGCAGCACGACTCTGGCTGACGAGGCGCATAGCGTTTACTCGAGCGGAAAAGAGTTCGCCTATGACCACGTGATGCGTTTCAAAGTGGTGGCCTTCAAAAAAGACACCGACACGCGGAAGAACATCAAAATCGATGCCCAAAAAAGGTCGTTAAAAGCCGTCCTGCTACTGTTCATAGAGCCGTATGCTGATGGCGCCAGAGATTCAGAAAAATATGTCTTCCCGGATCTGACGAAAGTCAGCGTCACGATCAACGGATCGCCCAACATGATTTACAACAACGGCGTCGAAGGCAAGGACATGTGGTAAGAGGCCCAACGCTTCTTCGTGAAGGAAAAAAATAAAACCGAGCACATGGATGTGACAAAGTTCTACACCGGAGACAATTTCGGGCTTCTGATTGACATGCGCTCCATGGCGGACCAAGACATTCATGGAAGTGGCAAGCGCATCGTGAACAGTACGGACGGGGTCCAGCTGGAAATCGAGAGGAAAGCCGAAGACTCAGGCAACATGAACTGCCACGTATTCGTCATCTCCGACTCCCAGTTCAACATTATGGAAAGGCGGCTAGAATCTATACAGAACTGAATAGAACATGAACCCAAGCAAGATACCTTTCAACGCTCTCATCGTGGGGCCGACCAATTCAGGCAAATCGGATTCGTTGTGGACCAGCTCTACGGCCCTTTCCGCGGAAAGTTCGACTACATCATTCTCATCTGCCCGACGT